GTACCAGGTTTCAACTTAAGGCTCCCATATGAGGTGGAGGGCTTGGGTTCTAATCCTGGGGGACGTGTCGATGAAGCCGTGAGGGGAGAAAATTACTCCCCATAGCGGACAGTACGTATATGTTAACGGCCGGAGAAAATTACTCGGGTCGTTACACTAGACATATAAAACCCTTCTAATGTTTTCCATAATTTGTTCAAAACACTACACTTTATCTCGGGAGCAAAAGTCAATCTAATAGTACTAACTATCTTTTATTTCCTTTCTTCTCGCTTTCCATCTTTCGTCATTTATGGCTTCTTATCCTCCAATGCCTTATAAGGCCTTTATTGCATGAGAATATTTTGAACAATATCAGATATTGAAATTATTTTTTTCGTCAAATTGCTCCCTCTCAAATTTAAAACTTATCATCACATTAGCAACAATCCCAAAGTAAAAACAATAAGCTCTAATACTTCTTGTTGAAATAAAAATCACACAACGAATGCAACTGAAATGGAAAATGAAAACCAAGCAAAAAAAAAAAAAAAAAGGGAGCGAACAAATAAACATGGCTTGATAAATTGAGCCATGACCAAATGAGCACAAGACTTCATTAACTTATAAAATTCATAGTCTAATGTCTCTTCACTCTCTTTAGTTCCACAAAATTATGACACTACAAATGTTGCAAATACGCGTATACCGTTGTATTCCTCTTGTTTCTCTCCTTTTATCCATCTGATGACAGACTCACCATGACAGCCTCTTTTCCCTCTCTGTATGTGTGCGATTAAACTCACAATGATGGATCATTCAACGGGCATGTGCACGTGCCTGCAGGCAAGCACATTTTTTTCTTAGGGTATGTTTGATGGATATTATTGATGAAAGAATATATTTTAAATAGTGATATGATGATAAATATGTAGTAAAAATTAAGGAAAAGTTATTGATGTGATAAAAAATATTATTTTATTGAAGAATATGTGGTTGAAAATGAGTTTTGAAAGAATGTATTTTGAAAAAATGTGTACCAAACATGGGCTTAGTCCTTTTTTTTCTCTCTCTCTCACAAGGTTTCTCTCTCTCCAATGACGGCTGCTATGATTCACGACACTTTTGCTTCACCAATTTTCTATAATACAAAAAGTGAAATGATCTACTACACATCGATGTGTAACTTATGATAAGCATCGGGTACATGATACATTAATTAATCGATAATGATAGGTCATATGAATTAAATGATTTACCAATTTGTTGATGTGTCATGTAATCGGCGTTTAACGTAAGTTAAGTTTTTATACTTATTAGATCATTTTTCAATACAGGAATTCAACAGATAACCTAATTGCATTACATTTCCGCATTAGGAGCCAATTCTTAATTGCATGTGAATTCCACTTTTCAATTCCCAAATATTCTCTTTTTCGTTTTATCCACCAAGTCATGTTGGTTTTTCCAATTGAATAGAGGCAAGATTATTTATAACATTGGTCCTTCGACTTTGTTTTTTTGAGTCAATCTCAACAATGTGTTCGTAAATTAATGAATTCACTCTATAAATTTACAGAATTCAATGGATTTTGATTGAGGCTTGGTATCTAGTTGGGTTTGCTCCAAACAAATTGTTACTGACGATCATTAAATAAATTTATTTAGTTTGAATTTGATTATAACCTCAAAGTACCTTTTTTTTTTTTAATATTTCTCGATTCATATTAGAACCTTTAATCTGTCAAATGTGAAAAATGCTGCCAACTTCTGAAGTCTACCAAACACAATGGAGTGCTAAAGGTAACTACATGTCCTATTTTAGTGCTAGTTGTATCAAATTTCCCATTATTTTTCGCCAATTTCTTTCAAATTAATTCATACAACAGTTTTTACTTTTTATTCAAAAGGAAATCGGAATCAAAAGTTTCCATGTTGCCCTTGGAACCAAAAACCAGTATATTCTGTATTCCTTTCCCTCCTCGGCGTGCACCCCCTTGAAATTAAGATATTTTCTCAAATTAAAAGTGCCGTATATACATATATTTTGACTGTCTTTTTTCAAACTATTCTATCATTATTTCATAAACTCGCGTAATTAAGTTCACTCATTTCTAAATCATTATTAACTCGGGTATGGTTCACTGTTGTCCAAACTGGCTGTAGTCATACATCAACAGCGTGCTCAATTATGCTATCCTAGCTGTATGCTGAGGTTGAGAAGTCTTTCAAAATGGCTTCAATAGCAATATTGCGAAGAAAACGTTTATCTTTTTTATTCCCTTAATCGGACCTCTAATTTGGTCCGAAGGGCTCCGAGTTTTGAGCATGGAAGTCCATCTATGGTGCCTGATTCATGGAACTGGAGCTGGGTTGTGAGTTGTTCATCTTCAAACGGAGATCACAGTTTCAAGCTTGCAAATATAAAACAAGAAATTGATGAAGCAAGAATTGAGAGAATAAAATAATTGTATTGAACTTGCTTGATTGATTATTAAATGTACAAATAACACCAGAATATATACAAAGAATTTACACCATTCTAGAAGGATGAGTCATACGGTAATTACAACAAATTGCTAACAATATTCCTAACAATCTCCTTCCAGAATTTTCCTAATTCTGTTAGCTGGTGGTCCTGCCTGCTTGGCCGATTCTTGCCTGCTGCTAGTCCTTGTTTGGCTGGCTTGATCCCGTTTGCTGGCTGCCTTGTTTGGCTAGTTGATTATTTTCCAATATCCCCCCGCAAGATGGAGAGTATATATCTATTACTCCCATCTTGAACAAACATGAATAAAAGGTTTGAGAGCATAAGGCTTTGGTAAGGATATCTGCAACTT